TCAACCTAGAAACCCAGAGGTCATGGTTTGATTCCCAGTCAGAGTACATGCTCAGGTTGCAGGCTTGATCCCCAGTGGGAGGCATGCAGGAGGCAGCCAATCCATGACTCTCTCTCATCATTGATGTTTCTTTTTCTTTTTTTTTTGATGTTTCTTTTTAAAATATATATTTTTATTGATTTCAGAGAGGGAGAGGGAGGCATAGAAACATCAATGACTATATATATATATTTTCCCAGATAAGGAAAAGCTAAAGGAGTTCATCACCACTAAACCAGTATTATAAGAAACTAGAGACCCAGTGCATGAAATTTGTACACTTGGGGCAGCGGGAAGGGGGGGTCCCCTCAGCCCGGCCTGCGCCTTCTCACAGTCTGGGAGCCCTTGGTGTATGTCCGATTGATGGCTTAGGCCCGCTCCTAAGCCGGCTGTTGGACAGCCTTAGCGCTGTTGTGGAGGCGGGAGAGGCTCCCGTCACTGCCATTGCGCTCGCCAGTTGTGAGGTCAGCTTCTGGCTGAGAACTCCCCCTGTGGGAGTGCACTGACCACCAGGGTGCAGCTCCTGCATTGAGCGTTTGCCTCCTGGTGGTCAGTGCGCATCACAGTGACCAGTCGTTCTGCTGTTCGATTTGCATATCAGCCCTTTATTATATGGGATTATTATTTAGGATGTTAAAGGGACTTTTTCAAGAAGAAAAAAAAAAAGAATACTAGCCCTGGTTGGTTTTCTGAGTGGTTAGAGCATCGGCCCTGAGATTGAAGGATTTCAGTTTCAATTCCTGGTTAACAGCACATACCTGGCTTGCAGGCTTCCATCCCCGACCCAGTCAGGGCACATGTGGGAGGCAACCAATTGATGTGTCTCTCTCACATCAATGTTTCTCTCTCTCTCTCTCTTACCCCTCTTCTAAAAACCAATGGAAAAAATATCCTCAGGTGAGGACCAATAATCATCATCATCATCATCATCATCCTATCTAATAATAGAGAAACATGGTAATTAACTGTAGCTCCGACACGCTTCCCATTGGCTAATCAGGGCGATATGCAAATTAACTGCCAAACAAGATGGCGGCCGGCAGCCAGGCAGCTGAAGCGAACAGGAGGCTTGCTTACTCCAGTGATGGAGGAAGCCAAGGTTCCCTGCCTGCCGCTGCTGGGCTCTGAGCTGCACTCTAAGAAACAATGTTGCAAATATAGTAGCTAAACAAACCCCATGCTTTCAGCCAATCGGCTGAGCTGGAGTTGCAACAGTGTTTCAATTATAGAACCCAAACAAACCAGATACCTGCTTTCAGCAGCCGAAGTCTCAGAGCTGGAGCCAAGCCTCAGAGCTAAAGCTGGCTCTCAGTTCCAGTGACAGCCATAGAAGGTAAATAAATCCCAGAATAAAAAGATAAAAAGAAAAAAAGGAGAGGTTGGGAGCTTCAGTCACCCGCCAGCCTGAAAACGGCCCTCAGCCCCTCACCCAGACTGGCCAGGCACCCCAGTGGGGACCCCCACCCTGAAGGGGGTGTGACCAGCTGCAAACAGCCATCATCCCCTCATCCAGACTGGCCAGGCACCCTAGTGAAAACCCCCACCTGAAGGGGGTGTGACCAGCTGAAAAGAGCCATCACCCCCTCACCCAGGCTGGCCAGGCACCCAAGCGGGACCCCCACCCTGATCCAGGACACCCTTCAGGGCAAACCAGCTGGCCCCCACCCGTGCACCAGGCCTCTATCCTATATAGTAAAAGGGTAATATGCAAACTGACCCTAACAGCAGAAAGACTGGGAATGACTGGTCACTATGACACACACTGACCACCAGGGGGCAGATGCTCAATGCAGGAGCTGCCCTCTGGTGGTCAGGGCGCTCTCACATGGGAGGAGCTCTGCTCAGCCACAAGCTAGGCTGATGGCTGCCAGTACAGTGGTGGTGGTGGGAGCCTCTCCTGCCTCCTCAGCAGTGCTAAGGATGTCCGACTGCAGTTTAAGCCTGCTCCCCGCTGGCAAGTGGACATCCCCTGAGGGCTGCCGGACTGCCAGAGGGATGTCTGATTGCCAGCTTAGGCCCAATCCCCAGGGAGTGGGCCTAAGCCAGCAGGTGGTCATCCCCTGAGGGGTCCCAGACTTCGAGAGGGCACAGGCCGGGCTGAGGGACCCCCCCTTCCCCCCTGAGTGCACAAATTTTTGTGCACCGGGCCTCTAGTAATAATAATAAATGGCAATAACTACATATCTATCAACATTACTTTAAAGAGGTAGATGGAGTAAATGCTCCAATCAAAAGATATAGGGTGGTTGAAAGGGTAATAAAACAAGACATATGCTGTCTTCAAGACTCACTTCAGATCAAAAGACACACAAAGACTGAAAGTAAAGGGATGGAAAAAGATATTTCATGAAAATGGAAATGAAAAAAAAAAGCTGAGGTGGTAATACTTATACCAGACAAAATAGACTTTGAAACAAAGGCTTAACAAGAGACAAAGAAGGTCCTAGCAATTCCACTTCTGGTATTTATTCAAAGAAACCCAAACCACTAAATTGGATATATACATCTATGTTTATTTCAGCATTATTTATAATAGACAAGACATGGAAGCCACCTAAGTGTCCATCAATAGACGAATGAAAGAAGTGGTGCATATATACAATGGAATATAACTCAGCCATAAAAAAAGAATAAAATCTTGCCATCTGCAACAACATGGATGAACCTAGATAGAGAGCACTGTGCTGAGTGAAATAAGTCAACAGAGAAAGACAAATGCCATATGATTTCACGTATATGTGGAATCTAAAAAACCAACTAAATGAATAAACAAAATAAAAACAAACTCACAGATACAGAGAAAATTTTGACAGTTGCCAGATGGGGCATGCATGGGGGTTGGAGGAATGGGTGAAAAAGGGGAAAGGATTAAATAGTGCAAATTTGTAGTTACAAAATAGTCATAGCATAGTAAAAAATAAATCTACCTTGGTGGGAGAAAATTTATGAAATCCTGAGTTCTGAAAACTCTATTTATAAAGATGATCTAAACAATAATCTTTCACTAATTATTTTAACAAATGTTAATTTACATCTTAATTACCAGGCTCTATTCTAAAATAGTGAGGATATGGTGGTGAAAAATTAAAATCTTGTTCTCAGAAAGCCTACATTTTAGTAGACGGAGATAGATAATGAATATATAAACAAATTTTAAAAGTACAGAGATATAATTTCAGATAGTTTTAAGGCTGTGGCACAGAGTGCTTGGAACATAAAGCTGCTGCTTCTCTTGCTCAAGTGGCCTTGAACTGATACTGCCATGCCTCACTTTACACCTATGCAGTCTACCAAATTATCACTAAGGTTTTAGTACAGGCCATAAGTAAGGTCCAGCAAAAACAAACTCATAAAGGTAAAAAAGTGATAACATTTTATATGTGCTTTCCACATGTTGTTTAGCAACCCTATTCATGAATCATTTTTAGCTTCTTATAATTCACTAGAGGCTCGGTGCACGACATTTGTGCACTGGGGGGGGGGGGTGGTCCCTCGTGATCCCCAGTAGAGGGCATGTAGGAGGAAAATCAAGAGTCACAACGACGGGGGTGTCCCTCATCCCTCAGCCTGGCCTGCACCCTTTTGCAGTCCAAGAGCCCTTGGGGGATGTCTGACTGACGGCTTAGGCCAGCTCCCCCCAGCCTAAGCTGTCAGTCAGACAGCCTCAGTGCTGCCGTGGAGGTGGGCTGCTGCGCTCCCCCTGTGGGAGCACACTGACCACCAGGGGGCAGCTCCTGCGTTGAGTGTCTGCTCCCTGGTGGTCAGTGTGCATCATAGTGACCGGTTGTTTTGCTGTTTGGTTGATTTGCATATTACCCTTTTATTATATAGGATGATATAGCTAGCATTCTTTACAATTTATAAAAGACCATATGACAGTACCACATATCACATTTATGCTTGTGAAAGTACCCATGCTTAAGCTGCTATACTTCTGTGATCCTGAGTTACTTCATACCCTGTTAAAATTTTTCATTTTTCTCTACTGCTAGACTTTATTGTCATATCTATTAAAACCAACTGGAAGGGCAAATGTACACACACAATTTCTTTTGATCTTGATGTGCTCTTGTAAGCAAATACACACCATGCTATATTTGTTTTTCACTAAAATTATGAGTTAATCTTGTCATCCAAAATAGATAATAAGATCTGTAACACCCACCCACTAAATTTTTTTTTTGCCAGCACAATGAATGAAGAAATCTTTAAAGTTCAACTGCTTCCATCTCTCTTTCTGCACTAAAATAGAGTTTTTTATTCTTCTCTAAAACAGAGTTTTTAGGCAGGGAGGGAAGGAGAAAAATTAAGAGTGATCAGCACGAAGGTCAGTTCAACAGATTAAGAGTCAATAATTAAACCAAAGGTAAACTAGAATTCTTTAGCTCAAGCACCTCCCTGGAATTGTCCATAAGGCTTCAGAAGATACCAAACTCAAATTTAAGAAACATTAATCAATTTTATAACCTTATTTTTCTTTTAAAAAAAAAATACTTTTATTGATTTCAAAGAGGAAGGGAGAGGAAGAGGGAGACAGAAACAATGATGAGAGAGAATCACTGATCGGCTCCTCCTACATGCCCTCTACTGGGGATCGAGGCAGCAACTCAGGCATGTGCCCTGACCGGGAATCAAACTGTGACTTCCTGGTTTATGGGTTGACACTCAACCACTGAGCAACACTGGCCAGGCTAACCTTATTTCTTAAAAAGTTCACAATTTAGGATGAAAATCAATGTCCCATGTACTGACATGATATACTGTCATTTCTTCAATTAATCTACTCAAGTTCTACTGAAATACTGCCCTGCCATTGAAAAAGTGTCACTTTAAACTGCCTTTCTTGAAAAATAAGAACATTATAAATGAAGACCATAAGCCTTTTTAAACTACTGCCTACCTTTTCCAATGACTCTTTAAAAATAAGCCTTGATCACTACTTTAATCAATTCAATACTCACATCTTGATTATATTCCAAGAAGACATGGAAATTTAAATCTTTTCTCAAAATAGGATGTGCTGCCACACGACACAGGAATACTTCATGCATTGCAACAGTCTTCTTGAATATTGCCAAGTATTCACTAGAAACAATACACAAAATTAAAGGTAAAACACTGCATCATTTAGAAAATCATCTGCATATTTTCAGCAAGTAATCTTTAAATTATTCTAAATGCAAAATTAGAGATATAATCCAAGTAAGCAAAGGTTTTAGTTGAATTGTTAATATATAAAACCCAGCTCTGAAAAGACTTCATGCTAGTTAATAGTACTTATTATAGTTAAATGTTAATATTTTTGGTTTTATGAACCTTTCTTCCTATGCAAGTTGATTTTAAAGATAACTATAGGGATGTTTGTTTTCAGCTTCAGAGAAAGTATACTACAAATTATTGGGTACAATTTTACTGATTCAATTTCTAGATTTAATTACTACTTTTAAACACCTTCATATAAAAAAATATCAAAACCCAAATCTAAGTAAGCATATTTTCAACATTAATACATATTTTCTTCTAATGACCCAGAAACACAAGAAAGAAACACACCACACAGACTAATTTTTATCATTACATTGAAGAACTGTGTTTAAAATATTTTAATATCAGTGAATCACAGCGATCATACAGTAATACATGTCAGTTTGAAGAAAAAAAAAAAAAAACACTTAAGGAAAAGGCCCAATATTCTTGCTTCAACTACGTGCAAGGAGGATAAGTTTTACATACCAGCAAACCAGCAGGACCAGTGTTGGGAGAAGTTTGATCTCTGTGAGGGTAGTCATTCAGTGAAGACAAAAAAGAAGGATGCAGAGGATGGAGGTAGCAGTAGAATAAACCCAAGGTTCTCTGTTATCCAACCCCTAACCAGACCACAAAAGAATCATGATCAGGGCCACTGGAAAACCACAGATTCTTCAATATTAATGTGCTCTGCTAATTTCCAGTTTTCAGTCTTATAAACTATAAAACTATGTATCTTCTATCAGACTATTTGCTTGTACCCAGCATTGACAGAATTCTTAAAATATCTGTCACCATATACTTGGACAAAGAAGAGCTATTTTGCAATTTATCTTGTCAAGAACTTAGTATTCTGAAAAGGACTCTAGCAGCAGTGTGAATATATGCTTATAACTGAATCTAAGTGGAAGAAGAGAAAGGAAAAGCATGAAGAGGAGAAATAACCAGAAAAAGAATGATGAGGGGGATGACAATGCAAGAAAAATTATTTCCTTGTAAGATTCTCAAAATACAGAAAAACAATATACAGCAAATCCAAAATTACTTCAAATATTTAATAAAAGGGGAAAGTATTTTGTATTTTCAACAAATATGCTAAAAATGAAATGGAAAGCCCAGCCAGTGTGGCTCAGTGGTTGAATGTTCACCTATGAACCAGGAGGTCATTGTTCGATTCCCAGCCTGGGCACACGTGAAGGTTGTGGGCTTGATCCACAGTGTGTGGGGCACATGTAGGAGGCAGCTAATCAATGCTTCCCTCTCATCATTGATGTTTCTCTTCCCCTCCCTCTCCCGCTTCCTCTCTGAAATCAATAAAAATTTTTAAAAAAAGGAAATATCTCAAATTTTCAAAGATTTAATACATTTCTAGTATATATGGAGCTAATTATTATATAACAAAAAACATTTTTAAACTACTCTTTTGTTACTTTCCTCCTATTTTATTCTCTTCAGCCAGAAGCTATAGGCAGAGAAGAGGGGAGAAATCTGTCTCTCACATGCACACACACACTTAAAAAAAGAACAGGATGTATGCAGAACTGCTCAGTGCATACTTCTATGAGAAATAGAAATTTTGGTAGTATGCACATGTCGAAAAAAGATCACCAGGTTGCCCTAGCCGATTTGGCTCAGCGGATAGAGCATTGGCCTACAGACTGAAGGGTCCCTGGTTCAAGCCTGGTCAAGGGCACATGCCCGGCTTATTGGCTCAATCCCCAGTGGGGGGTGTGCAGGAGGCAGCCGATCAATGATTCTCATCATTGATGTTTCTATCTCTCTCTTCCTTCCTCTCTGAAATCAATAAAAATATATTTGAAAAAAAAAAAAATCACCAGGTTGCTAATGACTAAGAACTTATAAATAAAAAACTAGCTTATTCTGCTTTAAAAAGTCATTATTTTTCATAAAGTTTTGAACCCTCCATTACTAATTTTCAGTTCTGTTTGAACCATTAATTTAAAGAATTTTACAATGTAGACAATTATTCTATAATTTTCCTGTAGGCTCTGATCATGACTATTAACACTGGTTGTGTGACTTAAACTTGCATCTTCCAGAAAGGGTCACTGTAGTGAAATGATTAAAAGGATGGGATATTGGAGAGCACACACACACAAAAATAAATAAAATTAAAAAGGGGATTAAAACAAGCACAATTAACAAAAGCAACAAAAATCACATACGCTTCCAGTTCCTGTTTCATCTTTGTGAATTCCTCCTTTGTCATGGACCCTTCTCCTTCTCCAAGCTTCTGTAGTTTTTCCCTTGAAGCATCAAAATCAGGTCTTGGTGGTGCTGGTGGGATCTGTAATAGAACCAAATCACTAACTTTAAAGACTATTTTATTTCTTGCAGCAGTTTACTATAGCCACCATAAAAGACTTTGTGAATGAGAAGTGGGCACCAGTAATATCCCAGGTCAGGTTAGAGAATTTTATTAGGTCTAGAAATTCAAATCCTTGAAACCATTTATACCAAGAAAGAAATATAGCAGGGCATTATTTTCTAGTATTAGAACAGTAGTTCGTATGGTACATAAAGCTCTGATTACACACTAAGTAAATATGTAAAGCAAATATGCATATCATTTTCAAAAGTATATGAATGGTATAATACAAATACATTTTTAAAATTAATGAATTCATAGTATCTTTATGCTATTCTGTGTTTTTAAAAATTAATGAATGCTAACAGTAAGATCAAGCAAGGGATGTTAAAGTGGGTTCCTGGATTGGAGCAGTGTACTAGAAGCAGAAAACACTGGCTTAAAAACAGGAAGAGAATAAGACACACTAATCTCATTCTATTCACTCACAGTAAGGGGTAAATAGGCACTTACCTTAACTGGAAGAGAAATATCACTCAAGAAAGGGTATAAGAAAAAAGGAGGGCCCTGGCCGGTTTTGCTCAGTGGATAGAGCGTCGCTGCGGACTCAAGGGTCCCAGGTTCGATTCTGGTAAAGGGCATGTACCTTGGTTGCAGGCACATCCCCAGTAGGGGGTGTGCAGGAGGCAGCTGATCAATGTTTTTCTCTCATCCATGTTTCTAATTCTCTATCCCTCTCCCTTCCTCTCTGTGAAAAATCAATAAAATATGAAAAAAAGAAAAAAGGAGGAAAGGCCTGTAAGAACTGTTAAGGAGAAATGATGGAAATTAAAGAGAGCAGGTAAGATAAAAGGAAGAAAAATTAAGTAAGGTGAAAGTTAAATAAAAATGACTGCAAGAAAATGATTATATCAAGGAAAACAACAGGGGAAGAAGCATCAAGTATAGTCAAGCACATGTTTGTTCATGCTTGCACATGGCATCTACTATGTGCCAGGCATGATGCTGAGCAATGGACATATAAAAATATGTCCAGTCTTGATCTTTGAGGAGTGTTTAGTCTCTAGAAGGAGAAAGTAGTAAAAAAATGCCATCAGACAAGAAGATGAGAGGGGAAAAAGGTGGAAATAGGACAGGAAGAGAAAGAGGAGCTTCCAGGTTGGTGAACATATTGACATGCTAGGAAGAGGGAAGGAGGGGCACCTAGAGAGGGCCTGAAAGCTCTGTGCCCACCCCACATCCCCATACCTTGTCCTCTAGATGTCTTCCATTTGGTTGTTCCTGAGTTGTTGTATACTTTCTATAAACTGGTAATTATAAACAACAACAACCCCCAAAAGAATGCACTGCCAATTGTAGAAAGGGAAGCAAATGACTGAGGAGTGGTCATGAGGATGAAGATGGAATCAGGTCAGGATGATTTCAATGGCATTTGAGTGTGGTTAACAGCTAAGGCACAACATATGGTACATATTTAAATTAGATAACCTCTTAAACAGCCTCCAACTCTAAATTTAATCTACCTACCTAAGGGTTCAAAATTAGTATGGTTTGTAACACCCCCTTAATGAATCCCTAGGACAAGCCCATTACAATTCCAATATACAGTAAGAATTTAAGTTTAAATAAGGTAGCATAACATATCCACACTCCCAAACAAGACAATTCAGAATTAAAGGTGGTAACCAATTAGGTTTTGTAACTGGCAATTTTTGAAAATTACATTACTTCATTAAAAATGCTAAATACGATTTCAACACAAAGTATCTAAAACACTCCTAAAAATGGGATTAAAATGGAACCTCAACACTTACAATGTAACCTGCATAGTCTTCATTTTCAACAAAGGAATCATGAAGCCAGATAAATTCCTCATGTTGTCGAACGACGGAAAACTCATTTTGTTTAAAATTTGGCAATGAACTCTGCAAAGACAGAAATTCTCTTGAATAAAAATTAAAATTACACTAAAAAGCTTTTAATAAACATTTCATCATTACTTAAAAAGTTATTCATTACTAGATATCAAACTCAACTATGCAAACAAAAGGAAATAGATCTACAATCTGAAAATGTGCCTGAAAGCTGAAATTTAAAATGAAAATAATTTATAAGACAGCAATTTGATTAACTAAAGGATCACAACAAAATTGGAAACAATACTGACAATATAATAAAAGCCCAGCAACTGAAACAGAACAATCAGAATGACCAGAGACCAGAACGACCATGGTCCCTCGCCCTGGCTGGCCCTGCCACCCAGCTAGCGGTTAGGGGTGATGAGGCAGGCAGGTGAGTGGTTAGGGGCAATGTGGCAGGCAGGTGAGTGGTTAGGGGTGATGAGGCAGGCAGGCAGAGGCGGTTAGGGGTGATGAGGCAGGCAGGCAGGCAGAGGCGGTTAGGGGCAATGAGGCAGGCAATACAAATGGTTAGGGGAGATCAGGCAGGTGAGTGGTTAGGAGTGATCAGGCAGGCAGAGGTGCTTAGGGGTGATTAGGCAGGCAGGCAGAGGTGGTTAGGGGCGATAAGGCAGGCAATACGAGTGGTTAGGGGAGATCAGGCGGGCAGTAAGGCAGAGTTGTTAGTGGCGATCAGGCAGGCGAGTGGTTAGGGGCAATCAGGCAGGCAGGCAGAAGCGGTTAGGGGAGATCAGGTAGGCAGGCTAGCAGTTAGGGGCCAGTGGTCCCAGATTGCAAGAGGGATGTCTGACTGCCAGTCAGACATCCCCCAAAAGGTCCCAGATTGTGAGAGGATACAGGCCAGGTTGAGGCCCCTCCTCCTCCCCCTTGCACAAATTTCATGCACCAGGCCTCTAGTATAATAAAGTCTAGAGAAAATTAAATTTGCATTATGTCTAGGTCCTATGATTCATTCTTTTTGTGAGTATGTGTGTTCCAATAAAACTTCATTTATAAAAACAGGAGGTAAGTTAGATTTGGCCTGAGGACCCTAATTTGATGAGTCATCATCTATAGTAATATCTTTATATATCTTCTCTTCATAATAGGTTGCCAAAGGAGTGAAGTGAATAAACCACATTCAGAATAACACACCTTTTCACAGGAAGTAGAGACTAATGCGGGAAACATCATGTTGACCCTTTAACCATCACAGACTCTACTACATGTCAATGACAATTGAGAGGTGTTTCCTTAGGGACGAAAGTTCTTCTATTAGCATAATATGTGTGCGCTGTGTCTACATATTCAAACACTCAGAATTTTACTACAAGCTCTGTCTCTATGCAAATGGCATTGTTTTGTTTTTTTCAATTACTCATGTAAGTCACTTTTAATTCCACACCTGAGGATATGTTTTTATTGATTTTTGTTTTTTTCAGAGAAAGAAAAAGAGGGGTGTGGGGAGGGAGGGAAGGAGATACCCAAGGAAGAAGCATCAATCTGTTGCCTCCTGACTGGGGATCAAACCTGACTGGGGATCAAACCCGAAACCTTTTAGTGTATATGGAACTATGCTCTAACTAACTGGCCACCAGGCTAGGGTGTAAGTCACCTTTCATAGTCTGTGTAAAACTCACCCGGCCAGTGTGGCTCAGTGGTTGAGCGTTGACTTATGAACTAGGAGGTTACGGTTTGATTCCCTGTCAGGGCACATGCCCGGGTTGCGGGCTCGGTCCTCAGTGTAGGGTCTGCAGGAGGCAGCTGATCAATGATTTTTCCTATCTCTGATGGTTCCTATCTCTCTCTCCCTCTTCCTTCCTTTCTGAAATCAATAAAAATATGTTTTTGAAAAATAAAATAAAAACATGCTTTAAAAATTGTGTAAAAGCATTCTAATTAGATATACACATGTATGTTTTAGCTCCCTCCACAAACATGATTTATATATATATAATGTTGAGAAATCTTAAGAGGCAAACTCCTCAGCAAATTCTTAAGTGTATCAAATACAATGCAAGATTGAAACCTAGTTAAAATCTTAGAAATGTTGTAGTCCCTTTAGGGAGAAAAAAAGTCATTATTTTATTGTGTGTGTGTCTGCTTATTACTGTGAGTCACTTGGTTTTGACTACTCATGCAATTCATATAGTGGATTTTGTTAGTGCTGTGCACTAAATATTCCTAGCATATAGCAGAATTGCACTCTGTGCCCCCTTTAAAGAAAAAAAAAAAAAGAACTTTAAATTTCATTTTTTCAATTACTGTTTACATTCATTATTATTTTACATTAGTCTCCGGTGTATAGCATAGTGGTTAAACAATCATATATACTTTACAAAGTGTTCCCCCCGATATTTTTAGTGCCCACCTGGCACCATACATATTTATTACAATGCTAGAGGACTGGTGCACAAAAATTTGTGCACCCGGGGGGGAGAGGGGGGTCCCTCAGCCCAGCCTGTGCCCTCTCGCAGTCTGGGACCTCTCAGGGGATGACCACTTGCTGGCTTAGGCCCGCTCCCTGGGGGATTGGGCTTAAGATGGCAATCAGATATCCCTCTGGCAGCCCAGCAGCCCTCGGGGGATGGCCACTTTCTAGCAGGGAGCAGGCCTAAACTGCAGTCGGACATCCTTAGCGCTGCTGAGGAGGCAGGAGAGGCTCCTACCACCACCGCTGTACTGGCAGCCATCAGCCTAGCTTGTGGCTGAGCAGAGCTCCCCTTTGGGAGCACACTGACCATCAGAGGGCAGCTCCTGCATTGAGCGTCTGCCCCCTGGTGGTCAGTGTGTGTCATAGTGACCAGTCATTCCCAGTCTTTCTGCTGTTAGGGTCAGTTTGCATATTACCCTTTTACTATATAGGATAGAGGCCTGGTGCACGGGTGGGGGCCGGCTGGTTTGCCCTGAAGGATGTCCTGGATCAGGGTGGGGGTCCCGCTTGGGTGCCTGGCCAGCCTGAGTGAGGGGGTAATGGCTGTTTGCAGCTGGTCACACCCCCTTCAGGGTGAGGGTCCCCACTGGGGTGCCTGGCCAGTCTGGGTGAGGGGCTGAGGGCCGTTTTCAGGCTGGCGGGTGACTGAAGCTCCCAACCTCTCCTTTTTTTCTTTTTTCTTTTTTATTCTGGAATTTATTTACCTTGTATGGCTATCACTGGAACTGAGAGCCAGCTTTAGCTCTGAGGCTCGGTTCCAGCTCTGAGACCTCGGCTGCTGAAAGCAGGTATCTGCTTTTGTTTGGCTTCTATAATTGAAACACTGTTTCAGCTCCAGCTCTGAGGCTTGGATGGCTGAAAGCAGGTATCTGGGGTTTGTTTAGCTTCTATAATTGCAACATTGTTTCTTAGAGTGCAGCTCAGAGGCTGGCAGTGGCAGGCGGGGAACCTTGGCTTCCTCCATCACTGGAGCAAGCAAGCCTCCAGTTCACTTCAGCTGCCTGGCTGCAGGCCGCCATCTTGGGTGGCAGTTAATTTGCATATCTCGCTGATTAGCCCATGGGAAGGGTAGCGAAGTTATGGTTAATTACCATGCTTCTCTTTTATTAGATAGGATTATTGCCTATACTAGAGGCCCAATGCACGAAATTCATGCAAGGGGCTCGGCCCTCGCAGCCCTGGCTTCATCCGGAAGGTTGTTCAGCTGTCCCATCTAATTAGCATAGTACACTTTTATTATTATAGATTCCCTCCATAACTAATTTGTAACTACCAATTTGTACTTAATACCTCCACCTTTTCACAAAGTCCCTCAACTCTCATTCGCTATGGCAACCATCAGTTTGTTCTCTGAGTCTCTTTCAATTTTTGTTTGTTTGCTTATTTTTTTCTTTAGATTTCACATATAAGTAAAACCATATGTGACTTATTTCATTTAGCACAATACCCTCTAAGTCCATCCATGCTGCCGCAAATGGTTAAGGTTTCACTCTTTTTATGATTCATTCTTAATGTTAATCTTTAAAAAACACATTTCCTAAAAAAAAAACCCATTTACTATTGCAACAAAAAAATTAAGATGCCTAGGAATAAACTTAACTAAGGAGGTGAAAGACCTGTACTCCGAAAACTACAGGATACTGAAAAAAGATAGAGCAAGATATAAACAAGTGGAACAATATACCGTGTTCATGGATTGGTAGAATCAACATAATTAAAATGTCCATACTACCCAAAGCAATCTATAGATTCAATGCAATTCCCATTAAAATACCAAAAGCATATTTTACAGAGCTAGAACAAACTCTGCAAAAATTTATATGGAATAAAAAAGAGCCTGAATAGCCACAGCAATCCCGAGAAAGAAGAACAAAGTTGGAGGGATCACAATACCAGCTATTAAGCTATGTTACAAAGCCACTGTTCTCAAAACTGCCTGGTACTGGCACAAGAATAGACATATAGACCAGCAGTTCTCAACCTGTGGGTCGCGACCCCTTTGGCAGTCGAATGACCCTTTCACAGGGGTCGCCTAAATACATCCTGCATATCAGATATTTACATTACAATTCATAACAGTAGCAAAATTACAGTTATGAAGTAGCAATGAATATAATTTTATGGTTGGGTCACAACATGAGGAACTGTATTTAAAAGGCCAGAAGGTTGAGAACCACTGATATAGGCCAATGGAACAGAACAGAGAACCCAGAAATCGACCCAAGCCATTATGCTCAATTAAAATCTGACAAAGGAGGCAATAGCATACAATGGAGTCAAGAGAGTCTCTTCAATAAATGGTGTTGGGAAAATTGGATAGATACATGCAAAAATTTGAAACTAGATCACCAACTTACACCATACACAAAAATAAACTCAAATGGATAAAAGACTTAAATGTAAGACAGGAAATCATAAAAATCTTAGAAGTATCCACAGGCAGCAAAACAACAGACATATCTTTAAAAAAAAACCAAAACAAAACAACAAAAAAAACCAAACAGACATATCTTGTAGCAATATCTTTACTGACACAGCTCCTAGGGCAATGGAAACTAAGAGAAAATAAACAAATGGGACTACATCAAAATAAAAAGATTCTGCACTGCAAAAGAAACCATCAACAAAACAAGAAGAGAGCCTACTGCATGGGAGAACATATTTGCCAATGTTATATCGGATAAGGTATTAATCTCCAAAATATATAGGGAACTCATACAACTTAACAAAAGGAAGACAAACAATCCAATAAAAAATGGGCAAAGGACCTAAATAGACACTTTTTAAAAAAGTATATATTTTGCCGAGACCGGTTTGGCTCGGTGGATGGAGCGTCGGCCTGCGGACTGAAGGGTCCCGGGTTCGATTCCGGTCAAGGGCATGTACCTGGGTTGCGGGCACATCCCCAGTGGGAGATGTGCAGGAGGCAGCTGATCGATGTTTCTCTCTCATCGATGTTTCTGACTCTCTATCTCTCTCCCTTCCTCTCTGTGAAAAATCAATAAAATATATTAAAAAAAAAAAAAGTATATATTTTATTAATTTCTTACAGAGAGGAAGGGAGAGGAATAGAGAGTTAGAAACATTGATGGAGAGAGAAACATCAATCAGCTGCCTCCTGCACACTCCCTACTGGGTATGTGCCTGCAACCAAGGTACATGCCCTTGACTGGAATCGAACCTGGGCCCCTTGAGTCCGCAGGCCAATGCTCTATCCATTGAGCCAAACCGGTTAGGGCAATAGACACTTTTTGAAAGTGGACATACAGAAGGCCAAGAGACATAGGAAAGAATGTTCAAAGTCACTAATCATCTGAGAGATGAAACTCAAAACGATGATGAGATACCATCTCACACCTGTCAGAATGGCTATCATCAACAAATCAACAAACAAGTGCTGGCGAGGATATAGAGAAAAAGGAACCCTCATACACTGCTGGTGAGAATGCAGACTAGTGCAGCCACTATGGAAAACAGTATGGAGTTTCCTCAAAAAAATTAAAATTGGAACTCCCATTTGACCCAGTGATCCCACTTCTACGAATATATCCCAAGAACTTAAAAACACCAATCAGAAAGAATATATGCACCCCTATGTTCATAGCAGCACAATTTACAATAGCTAAGATTCAGAAACAGCCTAAGTGCCCATCAGCAGATGACTGGATTAAAAAACTGTGGTACATCTACACAATGGAACACTACGCTGCTGTAAAATAGAAAGAACTCTTACCATCTGCAACTCTAGGATGGACCTAGAGAGCATTATGCTAAGTGAAATAAGCCAGTCGGAGAAAGATAAATATCACATGATCTCACTCATATGTGGAATGTAATGAACTACATAAACTGATAAATGAAAATAGATACAGAGCCCTAGCTGGTTTGGCGTCGGACTGAGGGGTCCCCGGTTCGATTCCAGTCAGGGGCACATGCCCAGGTTGCAGGCTCGATTCCCAGTGTGAGGTGTGCAGGAGGCAGCCGAGCAATGATTCTCTGTCATCATTGATGTTTTTCTCTCTCTCCCTCTCTCTTCCTCTCTGAAATCAATAAAAATATATTTTAAAAAAACAGTTACAGAGACATAGACCATTGAACAGACCATCAAAGCTCAGGGGGAAGGAAGGGGAGAGGGTAGGTGGGATAAGAGATCAACCAGAGGACTTGTATGCATACATATAAGCACAGCCAATGGACACAGACAGTAGTGGGGTGAGGGCATGTGCTGGGGGGCGGGAGAGGTCAATGGGAGGAAAAAGGAGACATATGTAATACTTTCAACAATGAAGAATTAAAAATAAAATACATTTCCCTAAAACATTTTTGTGAAAATAGCACCAGTGAATTATAAATTAAAATAAAAACACACACACAAAACAAATTTCATTCTATGTTCAAAACCAAAGTTCTAGTCAATATATTATTACATATGTAACATTAGCACAATAAATGCCTAAAATAATACAAGCACAAAATCACATTTACCTTTGTGTGAACAGTGAATTTTACTTTATCTCTTTCACTAAGAGCATCAGAAATGTCCACTTGCAGAGCAGCATCACTTTGAAGATCTACATTTATTGCTTTAAGCTAGAAAAAGAAAATAATGCCTTAATAAAAATTCTGTGGGCTTTTATATTATTTCATTCTTCCCCCAGATAATTAGATAATGCAAAAACAATACTAAAGTAACAAAATACTTTTAAATCTAAAAAATACTCAATTTCATTTAATCTATATACATATTTTGGGGCAGTTACTTTGGGCATGCTATTATCCTAACTAATTTTCATCTATACCATTCAACTATGCTTTGTATGAGTTAATGTATTAACTATAATTGATTCTTTAGTTTCACCCCAAAAGTAAACTGTCTTCCAAGATGATGTTTCATTAAAATTCAAATGTTTTAAAATTAACGAATGTACCCACCTTTAAGAACAAGAAGAAAAATAAAAAATAATGGCTAATAATTTTGACTCTGTTATTCTAATTCAAGAATACACAATGAAACTATTAAGTATAGTTAAATATATTACAGATATGAAAAGTGATAAAAAATGCTAACAACAAAAAAAAAATGCTAACATACAGCACTCAATAACTCCTGTGATGTAATTTCACATCTTACTCTGCAAGCTTTAATATATTAGAAGAATTGGATATGCTCTCCATTTACTTGTCTATTCATTTTTTTTAATCCTCATCTGATCATATGTGTCTATGTGTGTGTTTTTTAAAATCGATTCTTAGAAACAGGAAGGGAGAGAAACATTGATTGGCTGTCTCCTGTACACACCCTGACCCCGGATCGAACCTGATACCTAGGTATGTGCCTTGGTCGGAAATCAAACCTGCAACCTTTTTTTTTTTTTTAGTGTACGGGACGACATTCCAACGGACTGAGCCACCGGGCTAGGGCTCCACTAACAATTCTTAAGTTTTATTAATTTTTCTTCCCCTTTAAACAAATGAGCATTCTAACATGGTTGGGAAGTTTGGAGACTTACAAAAGAATCAAATACACTAAAAGAGAAAATAAATCTCAGCCAGATGCAAAGATATGAAATTTTTAAAGTCTAATTAACTAACCTACTTCAAATACTCTAGTTGTAAAACCCAGAACTTACTTTGCCAATCTCACTTAGTCATTAGCATTCCAAATTTCAATTACAATGTAAATGGAAAAAATGATGGAAACAAAATTGTTTGTACTTTAGAATTACAATTATATTTTAAAAAGTCCTATTAATAAAAGCGTACTATGCAAATCAACCAAACGGCGGAATGACTAGTTGGCAGGGGGCAGGGCCAGTGAGCAGGCAGGGCCAGGCCAGCCAAGGTGTGTGCCAGGGGGCAGAGGGAGGGGACAGTGATGGGGGGGGTTGGTGGTGATCAGCTGTGGCGGAGGGGCAATTGGGGGGGGCAGGGCTGGCTGCATGCTGGCCAGCATCGTCCCCTCATAGGCCTGTCCAGTAGCCTCCCGCAGAGGGAGTCCACCAGTGGTGGTGGCGGCAGCTGAGGTGGTGGGGGGGGCAGGGCTGGCCTGGTTGCCTCCCACAGAGAGAGGCCAGACAGTGGCTTAGGCCCGCCCCTCACCAGGCCCGAGGGACTCCCCCAAGTGTATGAATTTTCGTGCACCGGGCCTCTAGTGTATACATAAATGGCTTATAAGAAATACAACAAAATGTGAATAGCAGTGGATTTTCTTTACCAATATATATTCTTTTATTCTCCCAATTTTCCAAAATATGCATGTATTACTTTTATAAACAGGCAAGAAGTAAACCCTCCAAGAAGGAGAACTTTCCCACCAAACACAACATTCAGACTCATAATTTCTCTTAGTAATCCGTCTATGGCATTTACAGCATGACTGGATGCCATGGTGCATTCATCAATAATGAGAAGTTGGGCCTTTTTAATAGTTTTAGCAACTTCACTCTTTATATTAAGTCTAGAAATTGAAGTTTCATTTAATGGAATCGGTAATTTATATTGGGAATGAAAGGTGCTTCCACTGAGAAGTAAATTTGCAGCAATTCCTGTAGACACTGTGGGTAAAACAGTACCACCACGGCCTCTAATATAATGTATTAAAACTTTATACAGATACGCAGGTGAATAGGATTCCTAGCTGGCGGGCCCCTGACAGCAAGCTGGCCACCTGTCGATTTCGTGAGGAATAGGGTTCCCTCCTCCCTCCTGTCAGGGTCTGGGGTGCAGGTGAATGGGGCTCCTGGCTGGCAGGCCACTGACAGCAAGCTATCCAACAGCAGATTCTGTGAGGAATGGGGCTGCCTCCTCCCTACTGTCAGGGTCTGGTTTGAAGGCCGGACTCAGTACTTCCACGCTCTGCTCCGAGGGCGGGTTCCTGCCTGAAGCCTTGCCCCCTGGGAAACAGCTGGGGGAGGGCCCAGCCGTTTCCAAGACGACCCCTGCAGGACTGACTTCCTTCCGGATGGTCGAGCTTCTGGACATGATATTACATCCGGAGTTTTTATATAAGTAGACTAGAGGCCCAGTGCACGAATTCATGCACAGGTGGGATCCCTTGGAGTGGCCTGCAGGGACTGGGCCCCAGCTTGCGCCCCCAGCCTCGCAGCCCCGCCTGGTACCTGCCTTGGCCTGGCGCTGCCCCCTCACCTGCTCCACCATCCTGCCTGTGGGGTGATCAGTTGGGGCCGGGCCCCCCGCCCCCTGCTGGCACGGCTGCTGATTGCCATCTGTGGTGCGATTGGTGGGGCGATCGGGCCCCCGCTCACATCCGCCTTGGCCTGGTGCCACTTGCTCACCTGCTCCACCATCCCGCTGCGGTCCCACTCTCGTCAGGGCCCATTTGGGTTGGCAGTGCCTCCACTGCTGCCCACTGTCAGCACCGCGTCACTGACACCCGCCATGTTCCATGCCACCCCCTGGTGGGTAGCATGCATCATAGCGAGTGGTCGAACTTCCAGTCGGACAATTTGCATAGTAGGCTTTTATTATATAGGATTCCTTATAGAGCCACCAGAATGATCCCATTGAACTAGAAATCATTCTTTTGCTCAAAACCCAAGAGGTTCCCACTTGGAGAAAAGCCAAAGTCCTTACAGAGGCTCACCAGGCCCCATATAGTCTGCATCTGACATGGTCCCTTATTAACCTACCATTCCTCTGGCTCACTGAAGCTTGGCCATAGGATCTTGTTGTTCCATGAACACACAGACATGCTGCCACACCAGACACCTATCTACATGGCTCACTTAATCATTTCCTTTGTCTTTATGAAGTATCACTTCATAAAAGCTTTGCCTGGCCCACTATGAAAAATGCAGCTACTCCCAAACCCCAACAATCCCTTTCCCTACGTCATTGTTTTCATAGCACTTATTCACCATCTACTATATTTTATTTATTGTTTTTTAATGGTCTTCTCTGACTAGAATGCCAGTTCGAGGACAAAGATTTTGGGGTAGCTCTTAACAAATATTTGTTGAATGGAAAGAAAGTTGGTAACCGTAACAGGACTAAGAAACTGTTTTCAGGTAATTACGGTACAATCAATTAAAAAAGTCCCAAGAGGTTCTTCAATAAATCTCCATCTTTGCTATAAAATTTAAAAAAAAAAAAAAAGTCCCAAGAGAGCCCAGCTGATGTGGCTCAGTGGTTGAGTGTCAACCTGTGAACCAGGAAGTCATGGTTTGATTCCTGGTCAGGACACATGCTCAGAGTTGTGGGCTTGGTCCCCAGTGTGGGGTGCACAGGACACAGCTGATCAATGATTCTCTCTCATCATTGATGTTTCCATCTCTCTCTCCCTCTCCCTTCCTCTCTGAAATCAATAAAAAATATTAAAAAAAATCCAAGAGAGAGACAGAAGTAAATTCTGTTAAACTCACTAATTCAGGTCAAATTTAAAATCTATTTAACTCCTAGCCCAGTTATGATTTTGGAAGTCCTGTATACCCAGCAGTCAAATCAATGGTTGATTATACATACACTAGAGGCCCGGTCCACAAAATTTGTGCACTCGGGGGTGGGGGGGGGGGTCCCCTCAGCCCAGTCTGTGCCCTCTCACAGTCTGGGACCCCTCGGGGGATGTCCACCTACTGGCTTAGGCCCACTCCCCAGGGGATCAGGCCTAAGCTGGCAGTCAGACATCCCTCTGGCAGCCCGGGAGCCCTCGGGGCATGTCCACTTGCCAGCGGGGAGCAGGCCTAAGCTGCAGTTCGACATCCTTAGCGCTGCTGAGGAGGCGGAAGAGGCTCACGCCATCACTGTTGTGCTGGCAGCCCTCAGCCTGGCTTGTGGCTGAGCAGAACTCCCGCTGTGGAAGCAAACAGATCACCAGGGGGCAGCTCTTGCATTGAGCATCTGCCCCCTGGTGGTCAGTGTGTGTCATAGTGACCAGTCATTCCCAGTCATTCCCCTGTTAGGGTCAATTTGCATTTTACCCTTTTATTATATAGCATAGAGGCCTGGTGCACGGGTGGGGGCCGGCTGTTTTGCCCTGAAGGGTGTCCTGGATCAGGGTGGGGGTCCTGCTTGGGTGCCTGGCCAGCTTGGGTGAGGGGCTGATGGCTGTTTGCAGGCTGCCCACAGCCCCTTCAGGGTGGGGTTGGGGGTCCCAATGGGGTGCCTGGCCAGCCTGGGTGAAGGGCTGAGGGCTGTTTTCAGGCTGGCCACGGCTGCGGCTGGAAGCAGGTATCTGGGATTTATTTATCTTCTAGAATTGAAACTTTGTAGCCTTGAGCGGAGCTCAGGGCTGGCAGGGCAGGCGGGAAGCTTGGCTTCCTCCACTGCCGGGGGCAACCCAAGCCTCATGCTCGCTCCAGCTCTGTGGCCGCCGCCATCTTAGTTGGGTTAATTTGCATATTCGCTCCTGATTGGCTGGTGGGCATGGCTGGTGGGTGTAGTGGAGGTACTGTCAAGTTGCATGTTTCTCTTTTATTAGATTAGACTAGTGGCCCAGTGCATGAATTCATGCATATTGAAAGGAAATTACTTAGAAGAAATGTTTTAATATTGCTATTCACCCTTTAATAGGAGTGTCAAACCAAATTCACAATTGACAGTGACAGATCGAAACACACTCGTGTGATTGGCGC